GTAGGGGGGACTTGGGTTATTTTGGGGGAGGTTTAGGGTTTTTTTGGGGGGTTGTTTGGGGTTTTGGGAGTTTTTCTTGGGGGGGCGAGTTGGGTTTTTTGGGGGGTTGGGGGTGTTTTGGGTTTGTTTTGGGTTTATTTTGGGTTTATTTTGGCATTTGGGATTTTTCGATAAAAATAGGGTAAAACCCCAATAAAAGTGACTTTATAGGGTAAAACCCCAATAAAAGGGACTTTATAGGGTAAAACCCCATATAAAATCCTGATAAAAGGAATTTTATAGGGTAAGACCCCTGATAAAAAGGAACTTTATAGGGTAAAACTCCCAATAGAAATAGGGTAAAACCCCGATAAAAATAGGATAAAACTCCTGATAAAATCTTGATAAAAGGGACTTTGTAGTGTGAAACCCCTGATAAAAATAGAGTAAAACCCCGATAAAAGAGATTTTATTGTGTAAAACCCCTGATAAAAATAGGATAAAACCCCCGATAAAAGGGATTTTATGGGGTAAAACCCCCCGATATAAATAGGATAAAACCCCAAGAAAAATAGGATAAAACCCTAAGAAAAATAGGATAAAACCCCAATAAACCCGGGAGATCCCTGCATTCCTCGGGGATGGAGAACCGGGAGCTGGGAAGGGGAAAAAATTCCCGCTGGGATCTCCCAGCGGAGCGCTGGAAACTGCGAATCCCCCGGCGGGGAAGCGCTGATGAGCACGAAATAAATTAAAGATAATTGGCTCAGAACATCGTGGCGCCTTTGTTGCCACCAGCTGCCAGGTGTGGGGACAGAGGTGCCACCACTGCCGCTGGCACACGAGTTAAGAGGTGGATTTTTAATTAAATCTCATTTTTCCCCCTTCCTTCCGCACGGCCTTTCCCTCGTATCCATCGGCTGGCGGCTCCGAACTTGGAGTAAAACGAAATAAAAATTAAAAAAAAATTAATCTCAAAGTTCCCCTGGAATATGAACCGTGATGAGATCAAATTAATTGGATGATTTTACACTCCCGTCCTCATTTCCCTTTTTAATTAGGTCCTTCCTCCCATGCCGGAGCCGGGGGATTGGGAAATTCCAGGAGCAGCAGAGCTGGAGTTGGGAAATCGCGGCTTTGAGGGAGGCAGCGACACCCTGGGGGGAAAAATTTGGGTGTTCGGGTGGTTTTTGGGG